TATCCTAAGCTTTGGCCATGGCAAGCCTATTCCTATCCTTAAAAGAAGAATTTAGAAAAATCTCTCAAGCTATTCACTGCAGTCAGCAAATAATTTACATAGCCAGACACCAGTGGCTCATGCCTATAATCCTACCTACTTGGGAGGCTAAGATCAGGAGGATCACAGTTCAAGGCCAGTGGGCAAACAGTTGTGAGACCCCATCTCCAAAATAACCAGAGCAAAATGGGCTGGAGGTATGGCTCAAGTGGCAGAGTGCCTGCTTTTGCAAGCACAAAGCCTGAGTTCAACACTCCCCTCTACCACAAGTCCTATAGGGGAGAAAATTTACTGAGTACAAAACTCAAGTGCCTGGTCTGAATGCTGAGAATAGAAAGGTAACAAAACAGATAAAAGTTCATGCCCTACAGGCTTATGGCCCAGTCCAACTATAGGCAATTTACAAAATTTTTAACTAAAAATTCATAATTGCTTATTTCTTGATTTATTTATTTATTTTTAATCCTGCAGTTTCCTTCAGGTTTCTCTACTATGAAATCCCCTAGGGTCACAATTAGTCATCTGCCCTCAGAAAGATAAGTTTGCCTTTCAGGCCAACTCTTTACTTAGAAGGAAGTTTACCCCACAATTATGTTCGAAAAGCATTCATTAAAATAATGAAGACTTCCCAGACTGGCCAGTGTATTTACACAGTGCTTGTACTATGGCAATCAGAGTATTTTATAGTTCTTCACTTTTCCTGCAGCTAAGCCAAGCCTTTATACTTGGGTGAGCCATTTTCCTGGACAAATCTATAAAGCAAGTCCCTGAACTATCCACCAGCACTGGATAATAATTACTAAAAGACTCTTAAAGAATCATGCATTAGGTTGAAATGTGGCTCAAGGCAGTAGAGCCTGCCTAGCAAGTGTGAAGTCCTGAGTTCAAACCACCTCAGTAAAGGAATCAGGCATAAAGTTAAGGAGGTAGGTGGACTAAGTTTCCACCTAGTCAATACAAGTTGTTCTGGTCTTGGATGACTTCCTATTTATTTCACTTTAACTTTACAAAGACTTCACCAGACCATTGACTAAAACAGAAGCACCTGGAACTGCTCTCTACCAACTGATGCATTCTGTCCCTCTACAAGAGAAAACGAATGTAGAACGCTGCATGAGAGTTGAAAGGGGCTTTTTGTCACTTGATCTTTTTATTCTGTGCTGGAATTCCTTCTATTCATCTTTGACTCATTATCAACAATCTGGGCCCTATTCAAACAAAATCAGTGACTTTGTAAGGCTACCTATTCTGCTGGAGGACAATTTTTTTTTCCTTTTTCTTTTATTATTCATATGTGCATACAAGGCTTGGGTCATTTCTCCCCTGCCCCCACCCTCCCTCTCCACCCCCAATACCCAGCAGAAACTATTTTGCCCTTATTTCTAATTTTGTTGTAGAGAGAGTATATGGAGGACAATTTTTGTTAGATTTCTGTTTAATTGAACTAAAATCTACTTCATGTAACATTTATTAAACATTATTCTGCACACTGGAGTACCTCAGATTAAGTCCTTCATTTTTCTTCTCCACCCTCACACTCAAATACTGAGCCATTATGCCTTCTCTTTCCCAAGTATTCTTACTTCCTTCAACCATTCTTCATTCATCAATTTCTGAAACTTTCACAATGTTCACTGCCCACTTCTTGAATACACTCCAGTTATCAGTGTCCTTCAGAACAGGTAAATTTTTATTTTAATGCTAATACAGAAATTACTAATTTTACAGCATATGGCAACAAAGGCTGTCCTTTTCTTACATGGTATTACTATACAAACAATGGGAAAAAAGGTTATTTTTTTTTTTCATTTTTCTTTTATTATTCATATGTGCATACAAGGCTTGGTTTATTTCTCCCCCCTGCCCCCACCCCCTCCCTAAAAAAGGTTATTTTAGAATACTCAACTAGATAGGGAAAGGTTACACATTTAAAATCCTAAATATATCACTGAGCATGGTGGTACACACTTGTAATACCAGCTCTTGGAAGGCTGAGAAAGGAAGATCAAGAGTTCCAGCTAAACCTGGGCTACACAGGGAGTTTGAGGCCAGTCTGGACTACATAACAAAAGCTTGTCTCAAAAAGATAAAAAACATCCAGGCACTGGTGGCTCATGCCTGTAATCCTAGCTACTCAGGAGACAAGAGATCAGGAAGATCGTGGTTCGAAGCCAGCCCAGGCAAATAGTTCAAGAGACCCTATCTCGAAAAATCCTTCACAAAAATAGGGCTGGTGTTGTGGTTCAAGGTGAAGGCCCTGAGTTCAAGCCCCAGTACCACAAAAAAAAAAAAGACAACAAAAAACTTAAATATGATTCTATAAGAAAAATGAGTACTACACATGAAAATATTAAAGAAAAATACAGAGAAAAGATAGTTGATACTGTTGACATGACAAGGCAAACAGTACTTTTACTCCCTAAACAATACATTTCATATGAAATGTAAAATATAAAACAAAGAACTTGAAAAAGGCGATCCAACTGTCAACATTGCTGAAAAGGGATTTTTTTTTTAATGTATGTATGTATCATATTTATTTATTTATTTATTTGGGGGAGACACTGAGAATAACTGGGCTGAGATAGGGGCACCCGAGCTTTGCAAGTCAGTGATCACGAGTGGGAGAAGGGGGGCAAAGGGGCGGGGATTTGGTGAGAGGGGAAGGAAAAGACTTTGAGGACACCAACCAAGGTACTGTGCGTGGCAGCCTCCCTCCCCATCTGTATGCTTGTAGTAATCTGGCGCTTTGGAGACTCCAGCGGGCTGCTAGTCCCCATACCTTTCTACAGAGTATCCTGAAAAGGGAGCTTAATCTTTGAAAATGGAAAGTTATACCTACATTTTCCCACCAAAATCATTCTAGAGTGTCATACTTTAATATTTTGGTATCACCAATTTTAAAATGAAGGCTATAGAAAGTAGACAATGTCACATCACAAAAGATTTTTTTTTTAATGCAAACACTAGGGATTTAGTTGATGTCACAAATGGAACAAAGAAAATCAGAGGCTAAGTTAAGTGAGTGAAGGAATTTTTCTGGTGATTTAATAATCCTTCAAATGGTAGCCAATTTTCCCTCTGGAATCATTTAAAAAAAAAAAGAAAAAACCCCAAATACACAAAGCATATGGTGGCAACTAAGTGGAACCCAATCACTGAGAAATAAATAAATCAATACATTTTTCTCTTTCTGCTTTCCTCTCCCACAAACATACTTAAAATTGTTAAATACAAATGCTATAATCACAATTTTTTCTTCCCCTTGTTTTAATAAGGTGGAAATTCTGGTTAATAACATTTCCAAATACATCTACAACATTTCCATTTGCCAACTGTCAAAGAATTAAGATATAAAAAATATATAATTTTAACAAACATAACTAATATTTCCTTGATGATTCAGATGGCAATTCATAACCTTCGGGTCTCAAGAATATCATTATCACTTAGTATTTGTGTTCTCTCTATAAATTACAAAGCCCTTTATGAACAAAATGCTTGTGGGATCACTGTTGACTTTTCAGAATTCATGTAAAAGGAAGAGTAAAAATGGAGGTCTGTATTTACTGCCATGAGAATTATTAGTAAAAGAAGAAACCAAAAGTAGAGTTAGATGTAGAAATTCTAACTTGAGTCAACTTATTAAAATGGTTTAAGAGATGTTACTTTGTTGTTCTGAGCAAAGTTAATATATTTTCTAGAAAAAATCTTTTCTACTACTTTGCATTAGTTTGTTTTGTTTTATAACTTAAGAATTATTAAGCTTCTCCAATATTCTAGCAACCCTGAAAGGCATTAAAAGACATTCTGTCTAATGATAGAGAATGGTAGTAACAGTGAAAACTGGTCTAAGAAGAACTGGCTGAGAGAACATTCATTCATTTACCCTACTATATAACAAATGACGTGCTAGGTAACTAGGAGTGATACAGCTAGGAAATATCCCTCCATAAGAATTACAGTAGGGCTGGCGGAGTGGCTCAAGTGGTAGAGCACCTGCCTAGAAAGTGTGAGGCCGAGTTCAAACCCCAGTACCGCAAAATAATAATAATAATAATAATTACAGTAAGCCACCAGATCAATTTTAATAAAAATATGCTGATGTATAAAATTTTAAACAAAGTCACAATAACCAAGTGAAAAGCATGTATGAAATGGATTCATCACAGTAATGTTTCCTAAAGAATGTGACCCATCAGGATCATGATTCAAAGACAACCTGGGCAAAAAAATTAGCGAGACCCCATTTCAACCAACAAGCCAGGTGTGGTGGCTCACACCCGTGATCCTAATACGGGAGGCTGCAGAGAAGAGATCAGGATAACATCTGAGGCCAGCCATAAGCAAAAACACTAGACCCCACTTGAAAAATAATTAAGGCAAGCTGGGCATGGTGGCTCACACCTGTATTCCCAGCTACTTAAGAGGAAGAGATGGAGAGGATTGCAGTTCAGTTGCAAAACCCCATCTCTATGAATAAAAGCTAGCCGTGATGATGTGCACCTATCGTCCCAGCTACACGGGAAGAGTAAGTAGGAGGACAGAGATTAATGCCAGCTCAGGCATGCATACAGGACCCTTTTTAAAAAATTACAAAAACAAAAATGGGCTGGGATTGAGGCTCAAGTGGTACAGTACCTTCTTAGCAAGTACAAGGCCCTGAGTCAAACCCCAGTACTGCCCCCTCCTCAAAAAAATGCTACCCATCAGAACATCTGGCCAATCTGATCCTTTAGAACTCAACTGCATGGCACACTATGAAGCAGAGCCTGAAAAAATCCAGTCTTATTGTCGTGTGTGCTACTGTGAAGTATTTCCAAGGAATTAAGTTGAGTATTTCAACTATATAGATCTGACTTGGAAGTGGAGGTTAGAGAGGTGTGTTTTGAAGAAATTCTTAAAATAATGCATGAATTTCGTAAAAGCAAATCATGAGCTTTAAAAAATAAGCTTTCCAGGAAAAGTAAAAAGAACAATCCCCCAAAGGAAAAATCAGAAGAACATGACTTTACCCATTTACTATATTTCAAAGGTCCTGTGAATCCCATGGCTTCTATTATCTTTGTGAAGGCACCAACTTTCTCCTCAATGGGCTGTGGGGACTCTTTGGTACTATGAAGCTATTTAAACAAAGAGAAAGAAACAAAAATTAGTTGCAAAGAAATTTTTTAGCTGGGGTGGCTACTGTGACCTAGCAAGTCTGAGTATCTGACTGAGTTTACTCTCCCAAAAAAATAATTTTTTTAAACATGTCACTTGTGTTCCCTGTTAGATCAGAGGGCATTTTTATTGCTTAGATTTTTTTTTTAATCTAGCTTTTTTTTTTTTTTTGGTACAATGCTAAAGATGGAATCCAGGGCCTCACACATGCTAGCAAGCACTCTGCCATTGAGTCACAGCCCCAGCCCTGAAGTAGAATTTTTAATTCATTTTTTTAGGCATTGCAAACACATCTGCAATGGCATCTAATAGACATTCTTCAAGTTACAGAGCATGTCATACCTATTTCACTGATCACAGGCCTATCAACCATGTCTAGGAAATAATAAACTTGGAGTATTAGAAGAAAATTTCCAGCAAAAAAGAGTACTAGAGACAAGCATCTGCCTTGCAAGCATGGGGTCTGAGTTCAAACCCCAGTACCACCAATACTCCTGATCTCTGCCTCCCAAGTAACTAGGATTAAAAAAAAACTACTCTTTTTTGATAGAACTGGGGTTTGAACTCAACAAGAAGTCTACCCACTTGAGCTGTACCCCCAGTAAAAAGAGTACTCTTAAAAGGAAATCTTGATCACTATCTCTCAAAAAACAATTCTGAGAAAAAAAAAAACTACATTCTATGTTTATTAGTAGAAAAGGTAGAGGAAAGAAAAATATTGTCTAAAAGCAGACAAAGGTATCCAAACCACAACTGACCAAAGCAAACACTGAATAAATATTTTTAAACTCATTTTAGTACAACAAAATTTATTAAGAAAGATACGAGTTTTGCAATTTGAAAATAAACTCCAAAGGACTGGGAAGGGTGGTGGATGCCTATAATCCCAGCACTCAGGAGGCTGAGGCAGGAGGATCTCAAGTTTGAGGCTAAACATGAGCTACAAAGAGAGACCCTATCCCAGAAAAGTAAAAGAAAAAAGAAAAGAAACTATAAGGAAAACCTGTTCTAATGCTAAGCCTTTACAAAGAAAGGTAGGGTAACCAATAAGAAATTTTCTAAAAGTTAAATACTACTTTATTTTTAACTTACACAAAATCTGTAAAGACTATTTTCCTTAAAGTGTCTTCCAGACAAGGAGAACCTTTTGTAAATGTCACAATGTACCCCAAGCATTACAACAATAATCAAAACACTAAAAACAAACAAACAAAAGACATACAGTGGAAGAAACACAGGACGTAAGCTCCAGAGGCTTAGGTTCAAATATTCAGTTGGTTTGTCACTTACCATCCTTGTAGCCATTAGTAAGTCACTTTAATTCCCTGGGTCTTGCCTTCTACATTCAATAAATTCTTTGTCTCACCTCACTAACAATTTTGTTGAGATCCAATTTTGTTGAGAAGATCTGTCTAAAAGCACCCTATAAACACAGGAAGCACTTAACAACTCTCACCTTATTTGAATTGTGATACTTCCTACTCTGCAGAATGTTTACTCCAAGAATCTGTTCTGCTCCACCACAGGTTTCAGATTGGCTCATCTGGGGCCACTGGAGGATTAAAAAAACAGAGGTCCTCAACACTGAGTGTTCACTGAGAGAGTTAATCCGGGCAGACCTACTTCAAAGAAAAGACAATAGGATCGATCTAACCTTGCTTAATTCAGTTCCTGGTGATCTGATCACCAAAAGGATCCATGATCAGCACCTAGAATGGTGTCGGGGGTATATTAGGTACTCAAATTACATCGTGAAGAAATATAAGGATTCAGTATTAGAAATATGGAATTAAATCTGAGTCAACTCTAAGAAAACAGAATTGTAGTAAGTATTGAAATACTGTCAGCAGTGCAGTTTATGAGAGAAAAAAAAACCAAAAATATCCATTTTAAGTTTAAAACCTATTTCTGACACCTCCAAGCTCAGTGCCCATAGGTAACTTACTGAACTTCGTTACAGTTAAGATTAAAAAAGATAATTATGTAAAGAGCTTCTCACAAGACAGGTACTCAATAAATAGGAATTTCCATCATCATCATTATTCAGACCACAATTGCCTTCCTTTTATGCTCCCACTGCATTTGAAAGTAATGTGGTGATATAACAGCCACTATTTATAATTATTACTATATACCAGGGACTATGCTAAATGTCACACACACACACACCTACATACACTCACATACACACATACTTCTTTCTTCTTTAATCTTCACAACTCTATTAAATTGGTATTTTTATAATCCAGAACAATACCCACAGTTTTGAGAATAAATTCCTAAAGAGAAAACTACATGAAAGCGATCTTCATTGTAACATTACACACAACAGTGAAAATAGAGAAAAGTCTAATAAGGAGATAATTAAGTTAAGGTATAATTACTCAACAGAAAATCAGGTAATTACTGATTTTTGCTAGGAGATCACAAATACACATATATGTTTTTAAATACCTAAAGAGACATGGTCTCACTGTGTTGCCTAGACTGGCCTCAAACTCATGATCCTCCTGCCTCAGCCACTGGAGTTGCTGGGATCACCTGTACCACTGCACCTGCAGATTGTTTTTAAATAGGCTTTTTTTGCAGTAGTTTTAGGTTCAGAACAAAACTGAGAAGAAAGTTCAGAGTTCCCATATGCCTCCCCCCTACTCCATATGCATAACCTTCTCATGCCAAAGCAGTAAATTTGTTATAATCAACCTACCTTGACATGTAACTATCACCCAAGTCCATAGTTTACATTAGAGATTATTTTCAATAACATAAAAAATGCTTATAATATGGATAAAATTATAGGCAAAAACATGAATGTATACAGGTAAGTTTAGGAAGTAACAAACAGAAATGAAAGGGTTATTTTGCTATGCTGGAATTTTGGATAGCAGGCTGAGGGGAGGGGAAGGAAAAGGAGAGGAGGAAAATGAAAGGAAAGGAAAAGAAAAGAAAATAGAAAAGAGAAAGATGGATAAATTTAGGAATCTAGTTTCTAAATTCTTAGTAATGTTTTATTACCTCAACAATAAAAAAGGGTGGGGAGGGAGCAGGAAGAAGGCTAATCCTTCAATTTTGGTTTATTCCAAGAAGAGATGGGACACATGGAATGAAACTGATTTTCCCCTTGAATCTTAATGAAGGAAAAATAGAACTTCTAATTGTGGAACATTACTATTTGCATTTCTTTCCAAACAAGGATATTAAAAGATTAGTCAGAATTCTTCTGGTCAGTCCCAGGGACACTTATGCTTTCATTCACAAGTATCAAGCAGGCTTTATAAAACACAGACTAAACACAGAACACCTCCCATGACATTACATACATCAATGTAATGTCCATCTAGGGCACAAAGCACTTACACTGGTTCAAAGAACACAACCAAGAGCAATTTTAACAAGCTGTGCTTTTGGCTGAGTTCTCTTAGGTTATCTGATCTTTCTCTTCCCAATAGCTCCAAGAATAATCAATGACTCTTTCTATGGCTGTCTCATCACCTGCTCTATTTCTACCCTACCATTATCCATGAGCTAACATTTCACATTATATTGAACTACTGAAGTACCTATGGTAGTACCAAAGACAACATCTAGTTTCCCACACCTATGCTTATGAATAAACACACATTTACTTTTTGTACTACCCACTCTTGCCATTGGTTCCTTCAAAAATATTCATTTGACCCTTAAAGACCTCAATGTTTCATTTGTTTAAAATGAAGAGACATCAATAAATAACTTTTTTCCAAAGAGAAAAAATAATATGAAATACTCAAATATCACTTCTTCAAAGAGGCCTTCTATAGCTGCTTTTATTTTATTTATTTTTTTTTTGGTGGTATTGGGGTCTGCCCTCACACTTGCTAGGCAGACACTCTACCACTTGAGCCACTCTGTCAGTCCATCTGACCAAACAGGTTCTTTCCATATCATTATTTTCCACCACAGTAGTTAGCATGTTCATGGTACTCATTCTAATGTATAATTATATATTTACTTGCTGATTTTCAATTATCACCAGCAAAAATATACAGATAGTGAGAACTAGGTATGTAACAAGAACCAAGTATAGTGTATTACATATGAGATTCTCAAACATTTGTCAAATGAACAAATCCTACCACCTATGTACTTTTTATTTTTGATTATTTCCTTTCTGTTCTTGTCCATACACACATCATGCAGATATGCTTCACTCACCCAACCTCTATCAAATGTCCAGAATATGCCAGCCTTTGTGCAGGTTTTGGGATATATACAGAATCCCCATCCTCAAGGAGCTCACAATCTTGTGAAGAAAAGAAAAAAAGCTTTACCACAAGAAACAGAACCAAGTATCACATTATAAATTGTCACTCACCACAAAAAACAAACAAAACAACAAAACCCAAGTGTTAGGAAGGATGTAGATCAAATAACACCCTCATACATATACACTGCTGGGAAGAGCATAAAATGTTACACTCACTGTAGGAAAATATTTGGTAATACCTACTTAGCTGAATGTATATACAACTTAAAAGACAGAAAAATTCCATTTCTAAGTATATACCCCAGCTGAAGAGAATGCACATGCTCACTAAAACATGAACAAGAATGCTCACAGCAGCACTATTCATGAAAGTTCCAAAATGGAAACAATCTAAATATCAATCGATAGAAGAATGAATTGTGTCATATTTATATAAAACACTATAAGAGAATTAATAAACTATTATTACAAAGAATAATATGGATGACTCTCTAAATCAAAGCTAAATGATAGCAGATGAAACTACATACCGTATATTTAAAAAGCAAACTAATCTATGGTATTCAAAAATAAAGACTGAGGTTAATCTTTACTAGGGGTAGTGATTATAAGGGGATGGGGAGGCTTCTGCTGTTCTGTGTAATGTCCTTTTTGTTAATCTGAATGTTGAGTATGTTTACCTTGTAACAATTCATTGTACACTTATGAGGTGTGCCTTTTTCTATATTTTTATTATACTTCAACAAAATGTACAAAAATACTTAAAGATGTAGAATAGGCAATATAAACAACAGAAATGACTTGGAGAACAATGACCTGGGGTCATGAGGAAATACTTCATAGAAGACAAATGAGAAGGCAGAGGAGTGGAAGCATAGTGTAGTGGAAAGGGAACAAACACACAGTAAGTGAATTGGGCTAAAGCTCCAGCTCTGCCTGTCTCATAAGTTTGTTTTGTTTTGTTTTGTCAGTGCTAGGGTTTGAACTCTGGGCTTCACACTTGCTAGGCAGGCACTCTACCACTTGAGCCATTCCACCAACCCTATCATAAATAAGATTTGAGAACCAAATAAAATAATGTATGGGAAAGAGATGTGTAAACTACAATGAATATAAACATAAAGACCTGTTCCAGACAAATGACAGTGATAAACCCTTTTGCAGATAGGAATATAAGATTACACCTCTTTTTTGTTCCCTTCTTTTAAAAGGTTCTGGAAGTGAAAAGGCCTCCTTGATGAGAAGGTGGGGGAGAGAGGAAGGGAGGAAAGGGAACAGGTACAGACACTAACAGTCTTGAAATGCCATGGATATATATGTTACCGCTTAGCAAAACTATAAACTCTACTAGGGCACAGCCCAATTATATTTCTTTTATTTTCTGCCCTAATGCTCAACACCATTCTGGGCATGGAGTCAGTACTCAATAAAAACTAGGTAGTTTTTTTTTTTCTATTTTTTTTCAAAGTGAAGGACAAACTGGAGAAGATCCAAAAAAGAACCACAGGAATGATCAAAGTGATGAATAAAAGGTCCTAGTGGAAAGATTTAAATGAATTAGGGCTGTTTAGTTTGGAGAAAAGGCAACTAAAGAATTAAGGAGTAACTTAGAATAACAACCATTGAGTTGAAAGAAATCTCAGCGATCTTCTGGTCCAACCTTTTCACTTCACAGATGAGGAAACTAAAACCAAGGGAGAGGTTACAACTTGGTGGAGGTAGTTTCAGAACAAATTTTCTTTTTTTAAGTATCACTTTATCCAATGAGGAGAAAAGTTACCCAAGTAGCATCAACATAACTAGCAGCAAAGATAGCAATTACAACTTCTAAATATCTCCCATATATCCAATACACATATGCTTTGAACGTCACTTAGATTATCTCACAACCACCTCAGAAAGCAGATGCTGTTTCTTTCCCATTTTAGAAATTAGGTCACTACAGCTCAAAGTAGTAAAGTTCATTAAAGAGTAGAACGTATATTTAAAGCTATGTCTATCCTCTATACCAACTTACCTTCAAAAACCTATGTAGAGTTCAACAGCACAGATTCAGGCACACTTAGCCTCTTAGCACCTGCATTCTGATTTCTTTCTTTCTTTTTTTTGTTTTTTTTCCACGGTTAGGGATCAAATCCAGGGTCTTGAACATAGGATGTAAGCAGCACTCTATCACTAAGCTACACCCCTAGCCCCTTGGTTCTCCAATAAAAGGAATAAAGGCTCCTTGGAGAAATTATCTAGGGCTAAAGCAAAGAAAATACAACATGAACCCAAAACAACTTGTGGTGCGAGGAAACAAGGTAGGGTTTAAAAGATGATGGGGGTTGGGCTGGAGATGTGCCCCAAGTGGTAGAGCCAGCGCCTACCTTGCAAGCACAAGGCCCTGTGTTCAAATCCCAGTACCACCAAAAAAAGAAATCTTTTTTTTTTTAACTAAAAATTAAAAATGATAGAGGCATATAAAAAGGAACTAAGAGCTGGCTGTCATGGCTCACACCTATAATCCTAGCTACTAAGGAGGCAAAGATCAGAAGGATCAAGGTTCAAAGCCAGCCCCAGACCAAAACTTTGTAAGACCCTATCTCAAAAAAAAAAACCCAACACAAAAAAGGAATGGTGGAGTAGCTCAAGGTATAGGCCCTGAGTTCGAACCCCAGTACCTCAAAAAAAAAAGTAGGAATAATAATAATAAATGTAGGAATGATATAAACAGAAAATCAAGCAATCCAATTCTGGGCATATATCCAAAAGAATTCAAAGAGGCTCTCAAAGAGGTATTTGTGAATTATTTCCCCAGGCTGACTTCAAACTGCTATCCTCCTAATCTTAGTCTCCTAAATAGCTAGGATTGGACTGGTGGAGTGGCTCAAGCGGTAAGAGCACCTGCATAGCAACAGTGAAGCCCTGAGTTCAAACTCCAGTACCTCCAAAAACAAAACAAAAACAAAACTAAATAGCTAGGATTACAGGCTGAGCCACCAGTGCCCAGTTCAAAGAGATATTTGTGCACTCATGTTTACTGCAGCATTATTCGTAATAGCCAAGTGGTAGAAGCGACCCAAATGTCCATTTTAACTCAAAAGGATGTTAAAAAAAAAAAAAAAAAAGCTATGTACATACAATGGAGTATTAGGGAGGCTTTAAAAAGAAGGAATGTTGGCCAGGGTAGTGGTACATGCCTATAATCCCAAGTACTCAGGAAGCAGAGGAAGATTGTTAAGTTCAAGACCAGCTTGGACAAAGGCAGCAAGACTCTACTCAAAAGCAAAATACAAGATATAAGGGTGATCTGGCTGCGACATCTGTCACCCCACTGATCACCAGGGTTGATGTGGCTGATCTGGCTGGCTACGCAGGTGTCTCCTTCCTCCCTCACTGTGCCATGTGCGTCCCTCCCAAAGATTCATGCTTGGCCAAAGAGGATGACCCATCCCTGATAGAAGAGGACCATTCCTTGGTCAAGGGTATACGTGTAGCTGCACTCCCCTGCTAAAACCTCCAAACAAACTCTCAAAAACAAAATACAAAACAAAAGGGTTGGGGGCATAGCTCAAGTGGCAGAGTGTTTGCCTAGCATGCATGAGGCCTCAGGTTCAAAACCCAGTACCACAAAAAAGGAAAAAAAGAAGAAGAAGGAATCCTGCCACATGCTACAACATGGATAAACCTTTAAGGACATTAGGTTAAGAAAAATAAGCCAGTCACAAAAGGACAAATACTATGACTCCACTTACATGAAGTACCTAGAGTAATCAAACTCCCTATTAAAAATGAGATAAATATGCTAAAAAAGTTAAATTCTATAATGACAAAAAAAGGAAATAATATCAGTAACAAATAAAGGCTATCTAAACAACATAAATAATGTGTGCTCTAATAAGCGAAGTAGCACCAGAATATAAAAATCTGTGGATATTTGTTAAGGTACTTAAGGGAAAAATTAGTATACAGATACATACATAAATGCTGGAAAAGAACCAGCAGAAATTAAAATACAGATTTTTTTCAGATTTGAAATCACAGATAAATCACATTTTTTTCTTTTATTACTAAAGTATTTGCAGGACTAACAAAAAAATCAAGAAAAATGAAAGCCCTCAGAGGGTCCAAGGTTAAATACATTATAATGAATCCTGAGTTCAATGGTAAACTAAGGCCTCAAATAACTGTTTCTTGAATTTGTTGTTCATAAACAGGAAAAAGAAAATTTCTCACTCCCAAATAAAAGTACACACAGTAGATTCATAAAGAAAACTAAAAAAAAGTTAACTCTGAGATGAATATCTGGAAAAACTCCTAACAGTAAAAATCATCAGACTGTAACATGGTATCCTAGGCTAAGTTCCATTGATGGGGCATTTAGAAGCAATGCCCTAGACACCACACTGTAGGAACCAACCAGTCCTGACCTGGGACCACAGAGACCCAAGTGGTCCCACGAAGCTTTTCCATCACACAATGTGGTTGATTAATCTATAAATATCTGACATTTGCACATAAACACTAAGATTTTCATACCAAGTAAAGGAACAACAAACCTTACCTGGGAAACACCAGTCCTACCCCACTGCCCTTGCGTAGGATACACGGGTACCAATCTGCTGCATACTGGAACCCACTGGGAGATGTTAGACTGGTTCCTCTAGATAAAGAAAAACATCATCTCTTAGAAATCTCTATCAGACTTCATATGTAGAAGATAGGTACACCTGTGACATTGTGATATAACAAGAAATACGTATTTGGCTTTCATGTCTAGTTTCTGGCATCTAAAACCCTTGGAATTTCTGACAGAAGTGTTTTGTTATGCATAAAAAGCCCTTTCAAAGTTATCTGAGTTTAGGCTAATGAGGTGACTCTTAAGAGAATGACTGGTTGGTAGCCAGAGGACTGACCAAGTCAAGTAGAGGGCTGGAACTTTCACCCCGGTATTTAAGCTTCACAATCACCACAATGACCTATGTATATAGCTATTATCCCACTTAAGAAACTAAGATATGAAAACTCCAGGACCCATTCTCACTTATGGGATGGAAGTGTAAAGGGATTATCTCCAGGGTCCCTTCTAGCTCTACTAGGGATAAAGCCAATGGTAGAGTCTGGAACCAATGAAAACAGCATTTTACTGACTTATATAAGTTCCTCTTTCCCCAGCAAACTATCATAGAAGCAAGAACCATTTTTTTTTAATTTTTGGGGGGGGAAGGGGGTGAGATGGGGGTTTGAGTCCAGGGCTTTGCACATGCTAAGCAGGCGCTCTACTGCTTGAACCATACTGCCAGTCCATTTTGCTCTGGTTATTTACTTCCAGATGGGAGAAGCAGAGACTGTTCAACCATTCTTTTAAAAATTATTAAATAAGATCCCTCCTCCTACTGTTGGGGATGTCCAATCTGAGCTTCCAAAACATTGACTTCATACAGGATGATTTTGAACAAATCAGTAAATACATAAAGGGTGAGTTCAGGTTTGATCAGAGAAAGTAGTTAACAAATATGGTAAGGGAGAAGGGTAGAATAAACCCTGTGATACTGGATTGGATTTAGAGTAATGGTGTGGGTGAAAAAACAGATACTCGTATGTTTATGTGCCTGAACACGCATACATACATTTTCTACCCATGTCCTGATAGGGCCTGAAGCAATAACACCCCAGTAGTAATAAGCATATAGATAGCATCCAGATTTGGTTTCTAAATACCAAAATCCACAAGAAGGAACTACTTGTCTCCTTGGAGAATAGTTGACTCCAGAGTAAGGATGATGCTCATCAAAGCCTTGCTGACAAAAAACTGGCATTATGTGATCTGTCTGATAGTTCTTTAGAAGACTCCACTTGCAAGAACCTACTGTGAAAAACTTTTTCCCCAAGAGCACTGGTTGCAAACAAAGAGAGGTAATTATTTAACTTTATGGCTTCTTGAGGCTGTGGAAAACAATAGGCTAACCAAAAAGTTTGAGAGGAAAACTTGAGAAATAAAATGTTCACAGGGGCTCTAACACAGTCCTGGGAATACAGAAGGCCATGCCCACATAACAGGTCTGTACACAAACCCACAGCTATGCACATGCTCAGGAAAGATGGAAGAATGCCTCTTATCTCTGGTTGACCTTGAGACTCTTCATAGCAGTACCTGAAGGTAAGGCAGTGTCAAATGCCTGGCAAAGTGTTGAAAGTACACCCCAACATACACACAAAGCTCCTCAGCAAAAACTAGGAAACACTGGTTCCAGCCATTTAAGGAAATTTCTGTTCAATCATTATCTGACCACTAAGCTAAATAGAGACTTCCACAGCCAAATACAACAAAGAACACAGTTTACAGAATTAATTCAAAAAAGTCACTGATTTCCAGAGTTACCACATTGTATTATTTGAAATGTTAAGTTTTCAGGGATGGAGAATTGGCTCAACTGGTAGAGTGCTTGCCTACCAAGTTCAAAACCCAGTATTGTCAAAAAACAACAAAACAAAACAAAACAAATCACAAATAAAATGTCAAGTTTTCAACAAAAAAAATTACAAAACATATGAAGAAAGAAAGTGCTTTCTTTCCTCAGACGCAGAAGAAAGAAAGCACTCAACAGAAACAATCTCTAAGAAAACCCCGATATTAGACTACCTAGAAAGCCCTGATACTAGACTACCTAGACAGACTTTTTGTTTTTTTGAGTACTTTCGGGGGGGGGGTTTCACTTCAGATATTGCAGTAGGGTCTCATATTTATGCCCAGGTGGCCTGGACCTTGATCTTTTATTTACACTTTCCACATAGCTGGGATGACAGGCACATGCCACCCAGGTTTTTGGTGGTTTTGTTTTGTTGGTGGGACTGGGGTTTGAACTCAGGGCTTTGTGCTTGCAAGGTAGGAGCTTTATGGCTTGAGCCATGCTTCCAATCCACACCGATTTTATTGGTTGAGATGGGAGTGCTTCCATCTCAGGGAGGGGTAGGGGCCAGCTTTAACTGCCATCCTTCCAGTCTCCACCTCCCAAGTAGCTAGGAATATAGACATGAGTACCTCAGCCACTTACACAAAGACTTTGAGTTAGTGATTTAAATATGTTCAAAAATCTAAAGACAACTATGTCTAAAGAACTACAGAAGGAGGAGCACGATGGCTCCTCATGTACAAGGGGTCCTCAATAACATTAAGATCTGATTTATTCTTAGAAACTGAGCAGCTAAAAAGGAATGGGAGCACATGCTGAAAACGCTGAATAAGAAAGAATACCAAATAATTCTATACCCAGCAAAAGTATTCAAAAGAGAAGGGAAAATGAAAACTTCCCAGATAAACAAAAACTGAGAGAACCTGTCAACAGTAGACCTACCTTGTAAAAAATACTAAAAAACCTTCAAGCTGAAATAAAAGGATGGTAGACAATAACTCAAATCCACAGGAAGAAATAAAGTTTTTGTCTTTTTAACTTGAAAGTATGAAAAATAATCATTTCAAATCTATGCTGACACATAATATGTAAAGCTGCAAATGAATGGCAATAAAAGCACAAAAGAGAGAAGGAATGGTGCGGTATCGAAACATATTGTTTATATGTCATTGAAATCAAGTTGGTATTAATCCAAGCTAAACTGTGATAAATTAAAGAACTAATTATATTTCTAAGGCAAGGACCCAAAAATAGCTCCAAAAAAATACCTTACACTATGCACAAAAATTAAAACGAATCAAAGAAAACTTAGGTGGGGAAGTTTATGACATTGCATATAGCAATGATTTTGGGTATCACACCAAAAGAGCAGGCAAAGAAAAAATAGGTAAGTTGGACTTTTTCAATATTAGAAGCTTTTGGGTTAGGATGTGGCTTAAGAGGTAGAACACTTGCCTACCATGCATGAGGCCCTGGATTCTATCCCCAGTACAGCAATTTAAAAAAAAAAAAAGTTTTTGTATATAAAAGGATACAATGAACAAAGTGAAAAGGCAACCCAGCATAGGGTGAAAATATTTGCAAATCATATTATCTAATTAGGGGTTAATATCCAAACACACACACACACTTTTAAATAGGCAAAGGGTTGGGGCATGGCTCAAAGTGGTAGAGCACCTGCTTCCCAAGTGCAAGATCCTGAGTTCAAACTCCAGTATTTCCAAAAAATAAAATTAAATAAATAAAAAGTAGACAAGGGTTTATCAAAGATCTTAACGAAAGATGTGAAACTATTACAGGAAAAAAAAGGGACTGAGCATCAGTGGCTCAAGCCTGCAACCCTAGCTACTCAAGAGGCAGAGATCAAGAGATCAAGGTTCAAGACCAGCCAGGGCAAATAGTTCACAAGACCCCCATCTCCAAAATAACCAGAGCAAAATGAACTGGAAGTGTGGGTTTGCTTTGCAATCACAAAGCCCGAGTTCAAACCCCAATCCAACCAAAAAAAAGGGAAAAGACTGGAACATATAGGTGTAGGTAATAACTTCCTGAACAGAACTTCTAACATATTGGCAAGTGGGACTGCATCAACCTAAAAAGCTTTTGTACAGCAAAATAAACAGTCACTACACTGAAGTGACAGCCTACAGAATGAGAAAAAATCTTTGCCAGCTATGTATCTGACAAGGGATTAAGAATCAGAATATACAGAGAGATCAAAAAACTAATCTCATAAAAAAATGAATAAATGGGCAAACTAACTGAACAGACAGTTCTCAAAAGAAGTACAAAGGACCAATAAACACATGAAGAAATGTTCAACATCCTTGGCCATAAAAGAAGTGCAAATCAAAAAAAAGAAAAAGAAATGCAAATCATAACAACTCTGAGATTTCACCTCATTCCAGTCAGACTGGCTATATTCAATAATACAAATAACAACAAATGCTGCTTATCCACTGTTGATAAGAATGTAAATTAGTGCAACCACTATGGAAAGCAATATGGAGTAAAAATAAGCCAAGCAACACTGGCTCACGCCTATAATCCTAATTACTCAGGAAGCAGAAATCAGGAGGATCAAGGTTCAAAGCCAGCCCCAGGTAAACAGTTCCAGAGAACCTACCTCAAAAAAAATCCATCACCAAAAAGGGCTGATGGAGTGGCTCCAGTGGTAAGAGCACCTGCCTAGCAAGCATAGAGCCCCAGTTCAAACCCCAGTGCTGCCAAAAATAAATAATAAAAACAGACACACCATGATCTTGTGATATCACCCCTGGGCATATACCCAAAAGAAAGTAAGCCAGAATACAATAGAGCCACTTGCACACCCATATTTACACTATTTACAACAGCCAAACATTGGAATCAGTCCAGATACCCTAACAACTGATGAATGAATTTTTAAAAATTTGGTATGTATACACAATGGAGCTTATTCAGCCATAAAGAATGAGATTATGTTGCTTGCAGACAAATGAATGGAACTGGAGATTATCATGTTAAACCAGGCTCAGAAGGACAAAGGTCACGTTTTCCTTCTTATGTGGAAGCTAGACCTAAGTGATAAATTTATATACAAATATATAAATGATCTTATATACATATGTACAAAGAGACAGAAAGAGAGCACAAAAGAGCACAATTATAATAGTGGGTCTGTCTAGGAGGCTACAGGGAGGCAGAAGAGGAAAAGAAAATGATAGAGTGAATAATATTGAAAGATATTGCATCTGTGTATGAAGATAGT